GAGGGACGGCGCAGCGGCTGCGGCGGCTGGGGGCTCGGACAGAGTTAGGGCAGTGCGGTAGACTGGAGCGGACTGTGACTGAGAGGGACGAGGGAGCGGGGAATTGGTGGGGACAGTGGACGGGGCAGGAGGGATAGAAGCAGACAGTGAGCAAGGCGCACCGGTCCTAGCGCGCAGTCTCCGGCTTTGTCCTGGCTCTCGGACCCGAGACACCTGTGCAGGGGCATGATAGGGACCGGGCCTGGGCCCCATAGTCCTGTTGTGAAAGGTGATCCTTCTGGCTGATCTCTGAACATCCCTATGATGCAATCCAGTCTGTTCTCTTCCACTTACTAGCTGGAGGTCACTGGAGAAATTCTGTAATCCCTTGAACCTCAGATTTTCTCATCTGTAAAGTGAAAATAATAAAAGTACTTGCGCCGTAGGGTATTGTAAGAAATAAATAAAATGAACCATGTAAAGAGCCAAGCAATAATAAGTGCTCTACAAATATTAGCTATTATTATTATTAAAAAGATTATTCACATTGACCTGCCCTTTGGGGACAGCAAATATTTTCCAGCCTGGAATATCATCAGTAGCCAAAGCCAAGTGCTAGAACCTGAGAAAAATCCTGCAAGAGTATCAGGCTGCAAAGCTGGTTTCCTCTCTTGAGTTTGATAGTAAATACTAATAAATCTTGGAGCGTCAATGCCATCCAATATAAGGTTATTGATAAGGTTCAGGCTCCTGGCTGGGCATTTTCATGGGTTTTCTCATTTACTTTTCAAACAATCTCACAAGGCAGTTATTGGTTTTCCCTCTTTTGAATAAGGAAAGGGCTGGGGAAAAAAATAGCAACCTGTTTAGGGTCACGTGGTTGGGAATTGTAGAGACAGGATTCAAATTGAAGTTTAGCTCCCAATTTCTGACCTCAGGAAATGGTGTCACGGCAACCATTCAAGAGGATGTCTGGGAGACACCCTTGGTGCCACCCTCATGTCTACTTTAATGCCAACCCATCAGCAAGCCCATCACTCCACCTTCAAATATGACTTTAATCTATCCCTTCTCAAGATCTCCACCCACTCCACCCTAGTCTAAGCCACCTCTCTCCTGGAAAAGCTCCAACCTCCTGATCGGTCTCCTTCCTGTCACTCACCTCCCTAAAGCTCATTCTCTACACCAGGGGTTCCCAACCCCGGGTGGGAACAGGGCCGCATAGCAGGAGGTGAGCAGCGGGCGAGTGAACCTCACCGCCTGAGCTTCGCCTCCTGTCACATCAGCCTAGGCATTAGATTCTCACAGGAGCTCGAAACCTATTGTGAACTGCGCATGCGAGGGATCTAGGTTGCGCCCTCCTCACGAGACTCTCATGACCCCACGCCCACCCAGCTTGTGGAATAATTGTCTTTCACAGAACTGGTCCCTGGTGCCAAAAAGGTTGGAGACCGCTGCTCCACACTGAAGCCAGAGGGGTCTTTGAAAAATATAGATCGTGGACGGGTGTGGTGGCTCACGCCTGTAATCCCAGCACTTTGGGAGGCCAAGGCAGGCGGATCACCTGAGGCCCGGAGTTGCAGACCAGCCTGGCCAACATGGTGAAACCCTGTCTCCACTAAAAATACAAAAATTAGCCGGGAGTGGTGATGGATGCGTGTAATCCCAGCTACTTGGGAGGTTGAGGCAGGAAAATCGCTTGAACCGGGGAAGCAGAGATTGCAGTGAGCGGAGTATGGGCCACTGCACTCCAGCCTGGACAACAGAGAGACTGTCTCAAAATATAGATCAAATCCTATTAAGAGCTGTAGGGTCCAGCCCTACTTGACTTAGCGGGTATTCTCCCCGTGTGCGGAGACAAGAGATTGTAATAAATAAAGACACAAGACAAAGACATAAAGAGAAAACAGTTGGGCCTGGGGGACCACTACCGTCAAGATGCAGAGACCGGTAGTGGCCCCAAACGGCTGAGCTCACTGATATTTATTGCATACAAGACAAGCGGGCAGGATAACAAGGGTGAATCTTCTAAGTGATTGACAAGGTGAAGCAAGTCACCTGATTACAGGATAGGGGGCCCTTCCCTTTTAGGTAGCAGGAAGCAGAGAGAGAAGGCAGCATACATCAGCGTTTTCTTCTCTGCACTTATAAGAAAGATCAAAGACTTTGAGACTTTTACTATTTCTTCTACCACTATCTACTGTGAACTTCAAAGAGGAACCAGGAGTGCGGGAGGAGCATGAAAGTGGACAAGGAGCGTGACCATTGAAGCACTGTACCACAGGGAGGGGTTTAGGCCTTGGGATGACTGTGGGCAGGCCTGGATAATATCCAGCCTTCCACAAGAAGTTGGTGGAGCAGAGTGTTCCCTGACTCCTCCAAGGAAAGGAGACACCCTTTCGCAGTCTGCTAAGTAAGGGGTGCCTTCCCAGACACTGGCATTACCGCTTGACCAAGGAGCCCTCAAGCAGCCCTTATGCAGGCATGACAGAAGGCTCACCTCTTGCCTTCTAGGTCACTTCTCACAATGTCCCTTCAGCACCTGTTCCTATACCCGCCGGTTACTCCTAGGTTATATTAGTAATGCAACAAAGAGTAATATTAAAAGCTAATGATTAATAATGTTTATAATAATGATTGGTAATGGTTTATGATCATTGCTGTCTAATTGGTATTATGACTATTCTTATTCTAACTATTTCCTTTATTATACTGAAACAGTTTGTGCCTTCAGTCTCTTGCCTCGGCGCCTAGGTAATCCTCCAACCACAACCAGCGGGTTTCGCTTTCAAAGCCTTTTAAGCCTTCCTGTTGTTCTTAGAAAAAAACTCAAACTTCCTCCTAATAACTACAGGGCCCTACATGGTCTCCCTCTTACTTGTAATTCTGGCTTCATTTTATGTGGGTGGATTTACCTTAACAATTAGAAATCTTCAGTTTCAGGACCCTCACTTGCAAGGCCTCCTCCAAAGCCCTGGGAGAAGCATAGCAGTGTTTTCATATGGGCGTGTGTTTTTGTAAAGTTTTCAAAAATAAGATATTTTACCATAATCTTTGAAGATGAATGTCTTTTTCCACTTTAACTCTCTCTGTCACACTGTGTGGGTGGCAATGAAGTAGCTGAAGGGTGTGGCTGAGGCAGAGCTGAGTTACATGTACACTTAATGCAGGTTCAGAGGGATCTATTTATGTGGTCTACAGTTACTTTGATCTATAGTCAAGTCATTGCTATCTATCTTAGTTAGGAATGGCTTCCAGGAACACACCTACGGCCCACCATACTGACTCACCCTGCACTGTGACACAAAGGTACAGGGCCATAAATCGTTTTAAAGCATAGCATCAGGAGTACGTATGTATTGGATAAGAAACAAAATTTGAAACATACAGAGTCAGAAACTAGTCTGTCGAGAATTCTTCCAATCATCAGACATATTAAACTATAAGCAGAGGATTTGGTTCTCATCAAAGCCCAGTTAAAGCAGAAGTTCTTTCCTTCTGTCTACCTGAAATCTATCTGACAAGACAACATATGCAATTAAAAATGCACTGCACATTTTTTCATCCTTTCTAATAGGAATTGCACAAACTAGAAGATATCAGAGTCTCATTTGTGTTCATAGAGCACAAACATGCGGCAGTGCTGTAAACAGCTAATACATCCACGTAGGAAGCTGCATGTTTATGATCTCATTGTATTGGCTCATGTCTTCTTTGGCCATCTCTGCCTTCGCCATGTCAGGTGCTTACAGATGAACTAGCCTGCAGATTATAACAAAAGTAGTGATTCATTAAGAGAAATAGACACATTTCAAATCAAAGTGTCAGGGAAACAGGAGCATAGGAGAGCCAGGGTCACACCATTTTAAAATCGACTCTATCGTAAAACTAGCAAGACCCATTCCTGGCCAGTTATGACCCATGTTCATAAGACGTTTACAGTTGAGAAAACAAAGACACCTGCGAGGACACACTCCTACAACAATGGAAAGTCCAGATGTCCCGGTATCCATAACAATATGTGCTTTCAAGATAATTACAGTCATCTTGATGGGTATTTTTGATTGTAGTCATTTTGATGGATGTATACACTAAAATGCCAAGGATAACTTTCTTTAAATCAACAAAGCACTAAATTTTGTCATGCTGTTACTCCACCCACATGTAGACATATCTTAATCTTTACATAGATACATGCCCCCTATAAGAAAAACTTAAAGATGAGGTATTTCTCCTCTTGCTTTCTGAGGATGCCCTACTCTATAACTGAGTAGCTTTCGCTAAAACTACTTCTTCTCAGTGCCCT